TGATCCGCATAAAGTGTTAATGCATAACTTAACAAGATTGACAACAATTTCAACAGAAAGTGGTAAAACATGGCTCATTAGTTCATGAGCAAGATGATCAAGAATATCATAAACTGGCACCTTTCTAATCAAAGAACAAACGTCAAAACTGATTAACTATAAATCAGGAGTGACAGGAACACTATTCAATTTGTTAACTAATTCAAGAGAATTGGTCAAATGAGAAGAGGAAATAGTTCCTAACAATGGGGACAAGATTTTTGTTGGGATTGAGTACTACAGATGTTGGAGGTAGCATGTTTGGAGCAGATGCTCTTTTGTTTATGATCTTGTTAATAATATTTCATGTACCTGATAATTGTTTTGTGGTTTTGTTATTGGATGAGAATAAAACCATGTGGACGAAGATTGTTTCTCTTCAGCTTTAAACCATAACAGTGGCGACGAGGATTAAACATCTCGGGCAGAGAGCCTGGGAACGAGACGTGGTTTGAGGATCCAGTGAGAGCAGGGTACGTCGTGTGGACGAGTGGACGCTTCGCATACAACAGTGGAGTGTGCTACCACCATGGCCATGGCTGCGCTGCTCATGTCAATGGAGCCGTTAAACACTGCCAAGATCTCGTTGGACCTGTGGCTCAGCCTGCTGGAAGCAAACTTTCAGTACCGGGAGATTTAGGAGGACGCCAACAAGAGAGCGGTACTCTCTAACGGTTTCACTGGGTTCTGAAGAGTATAGTGTTTTCGGAAATTTGTGTGCACCTGAGCTACCCCACACGAAGACCTATGTAGACCTGATTGCCCTTCTTAAACGTCAGTATGTGGTGAAACCATCATATCACAGGAGTTTGATGGATTTCCTGAAGAGGACGAAAAAGCAGCAGGAATCCGTACAGGATTTATATGCGGAATTGAAGACTTTGGCTAACCACTGCAACTTCGGAGCACGGTTGGACGGCAGGGTTAGTGACCAGGGGCCAGATTCACGAACGCACTTATGCAAGCACTTACGAACGTGTACATCTTTTCTCAATCTTTGGCGGCTTTGTTTCCAATTATTAAACAGTTAATGAGCTCCGAAGCCCCAGAAGGCTGTTTATAACAATAACAACATTTGAATGGGAAGTTTTCATGCTTGTAAACTGTTTAATAAATATAACCAAAGCCGTCAAAGATTGAGGAAAGATGTACACGTTCGTAAGTGTTTGCGTAAGTGCTTTCGTGAATCTGGCTCCTGTTGTTCATGGCAGTGGAAAAGGAGAATTATTTCCATAACCTGGAGGCAGAAAACTTGGATCTACAATCGATAATATCATGGACAGTGCTCGAGAAGATATTGAACCTGGAAAGGGTTTTTGGAAGTAAGACTTCTACTCAGGAAATTATGGTCGTACAGGGCCAGACCAGATGTAAACACTGTGGATACAATCACATAAGTAGCAAGTGCAAATTTAGTGCCTATATATATATGTAACTTTTGTAACAAGGAGGGACACTTGCAGAGAGTGTGTAAGGAATATCTGAACAGGAACAGCAAGGCCTGGGAGAGGAGACGACCAGGGAATGCAGGAAGAAGAGGTAGTAGTACTGTGGTCAAGGCAGTAGAGGAAGGTAACCAGTCTGAAGAAGCTGCAGGTGAGGAAAACCGACTATATTCGTTGAAAGAAAAGGTATGTTCAGTGAAGTAACAAGTGGTGAATTTTGTAATTAATGGGAAGTTAGTTCCCTTGGAACTGGACACTGGTGCTGCAGTGTCAACATTGTCTAGAGCTTGGGCAGATACCTTGCAATTGAATGTAAAACCTGGTAAAAATCATTAAGTGCTTATGATAATGTACCGATTAAGGTCTATGGCAAGGTGTCGGCAAAAGTAGGTTATAATGGAAAATAAATTGTCCACGATTTTTATGTAGTGGATTCACATAATCCTAGCCTATGTGGTTAGGATCTCATGAAAAAAGTGGGAATTTTCTTGGCGGGCCTAGATGAATTGTCGATAATTAAAACAATTAAAAGTGCCGAGCAAATGTTAGATAAATATTCAGTGGAGGTAGTTTAGTTCATTTATTATGCACCCCATACCCATCTTGTGGGCGGTAGGGGAGAGGGTTACAGAGGCACATAATGGGCTCAGGGACTGAACCCCACAATTCATTTAGCTAAGCAAGTTACAATCTTGATGAGCTATTTACAAGTCAATATAAGTCGTCACATCAACAATGGGTTCGAGATCGACCACAAGTACTGTTTCTAAATTAAGTAACTGACAAATGTGGAGAGCTAGTGTCACAATTGATATGTTTGTCCTGCACACCGCCCCCCATCCAGTGGGCAGCGGTGGATAGGTTACAATCACTTAGTTACTTCCTACAGTTAGCAAACTGGGGATATTTGGCTAAAATTTCTGGTAGCAGATCATTTTGAATGAAATATTTGCACATCGTTGGAACCTTGGTTATAGTATTGTCTCTAAATTCACGTATCTTTTCGCACTCCATCACATATGATGGAGGGTGTGCGAATAATTTTGTTGACACAGTTTACATTTGGATCTCTGTCTACATCGGCAGATAATGAAAATTCCCAGAGATACTTGTAACCGAGCAGTAGTAACATCTAGAAGTCTGCTGATTTTATTGTATGATCCATAGATGTGTGGCTCCTCTTGCATGATAGTATGATGATAGATAGAATTACTGGTGTCAATTTCACTTTGCCTCAGATCTACAAGATCTTGTTGAAGTTCTCGGTGTACTGCTGGTGGAAGCAGATAAGCCAATTAATAGCATGGTGGCAAAAATTCACCTGAAAAGTGGGGCTTCACTTAAATTTTTCAAGGCACGAACAGTGCCGTTTCATTACAAGCAGTTGGTAGAATCAGCCCTGGAAAAGCATGTGGAAGAAGGTATCTTAGAGCCAATTACACATAGTGAGTGGGCAGCCCCAATTTTACCAGTGTTGAAGGCAGATCAGAAATCCTTGAGAATCTGTGCAGACTTCAAGGAACTGAATAACCGCATACACTGTGAGGCGTACCCTCTACCCAAGATAGATGAGTTGTTGTCAGAGGTCTGCATGGGGACAATTTTTTCTAAGATTGACCTGAAAGGTGCTTACTTCCCCCATGCACTCGAGCAATGTCAATAGGCCGTTCTCCCTCATCGCCCTTACTTCATTACACACAGAAATCACAGTTGCGTGATGCATCAAATCCTTGTCACGGCCCTTGTGGATTTATTCATTTGATGCATCACGCAATTGTGATTTCTGTGTGTAATGAAGTAAGGGCGAAGAGGGAGAACGGCCTATTGACATGGCTCGAGTGCATGGGGGGGAGTTGTGTAAAACCCTTGTTTGTGCCTCAGAGAGGCTGCAGGATCCAGTAAGTTCAGTAGATCTTCGATTTCAACTCCTTTGACCATGGCGTAGCTCAGTCGATTAAGGCAGCGTCTGAGATGCTCTCGGACGCAGGTTCGAATCGTCGTCACAGCCCTTGTGGATTTGTTCATGGGGGAGTCATACCCTCTCGAGGATGACAGCTCAGTCGGCGTATTCTTCTAGTCCACCAACTGCCTCACACCTTCCCAGACTGTCTTCTCCAAACAGTAGCAAATACTGGCTGACCTACAGCCTACTCTACTCTAACATAATAAGAAAATATACTAATGACATATATATGTACCGGCCTATATATCAAGGGGTATTGGGAGCGAAATAATGATCTATCCTAATCACTCCTGTCCACGATGGCTATCCTCCGATGGTAGAAGGTACACGGGTCCTAGGTAGCTCTCGGCATTCTGGTAGTGTGCAGGCGATGAGTCACAATAACGTGGCTAAAGTATGTTGACCAGACCACACACTAGAAGGTGAAGGGACGACGACATTTCGGTCCGTCCTGGACCATTCTCAAGTCGATTGAGACTTGACAATCACAATCGACTTGAGAATGGTCCAGGACGGACCGAAACGTCGTCGTCCCTTCACCTTCTAGTGTGTGGTCTGGTCAACATTCTGGTAGTGTATTACAGGTCCTCATGTGTCGTGGAGAAATCGCATCTTCACCGTACCAGGGTTCGGGTTTTCCCAACTGGTCCAACCAGTGGTCACTGAGCATGTCACTGTACACACACGCTCCTTCAACGAGACGTTTTCTCAGGGATCCGGATGCAGTGTCTTCCCTCCAAAACCTCAATAGATGTGACCCAGTCACTGCAGCGCTGCACGTCGTACTAGAACGGACTCATGGGCGCCAGATTTGCCCTCCCAGAGTCGTCGCACACCTTCAGTCGCCGACTAATATCCTCAAATTCTTGGCACTCCTTTGGCCACTAAACATGACTTTTTCGTACTCCCCAGGAGAACACTGTCTTTTGCGAGAATGGTAGACTGCGATGGCTGCTTAAAATTCACTGAGCGAGGCTCCCAAAACCTCTAATCTCGGGAGCTCACTGACGCATTTCTGCTCGCATCAAAAGTCTGTGTAGTTCTGCATGCCAGCACAGGGCCAGGTCTCCCGGTGACGTCACTAGCATGCGTGCCATTTCGGGCAGGTTATTAATCCAAATTCTTCCCTGGAATACAACCCGCCAATTCGTTTAACAACCAGGTACCCATTCACTGCTGGGTGATCAGAGGCAACAGTTAAGGATTGGCACCCAGTCAGTCCTCCCTGGCAAGAATACGACCCCGTCCATAGTGTTCGCGAAGCGCCGGGTAAGTGTTTTATCCACTGCACTACCGGCACTGTTAATGTTTTTGTGACTTGCTGTGAAGTCCGCGCACAAGCGATTGGTCCTGGATCGATTCCCAGCGGCACTTTTGGGCACTTTCCCTTATACCTGATTGCTCAGGAGTTTTGGCTTCATCCTGGGTGCAGTGAGTCATTTGCGAGGAGAACCTCGACAAGTCTATTAGGCACTCAGTCCTCAACGATGTGTAACCATATATGTAAACATATATAAGAAAATACATAATTTAAAACATCGGTTATTTTACAGAGGAGCATTGCACGTCCCCGTACACAAGTGTAGGGAAGACGTGTCTGCTGCTGGCTCTTGGTGACCCGCTCCCCTGGGCCGCTGCTCGTCAGTATTGTGCTGCGAGGGGCGGCGACCTGGCTACCTTCACTGACGCCAACACCTACGCTGAGTACCTCGCTTTTGTCAACACTGTCAGTGAGTATTAACGGCAGGAAAGTTACAGTAAGAACAGCTTATACCAAAACTTGACACATTAACAATGTCTCTCGTCTAACTAATACACCACAGTACAACGCACTGTACAACGTCAGAGGTAAACAAACATTACCAAACACCAGTAATTACCTACAATAAGAAACCAACGCTTCATAAAACAAGGTCAACAGTGCTTCTCCTGATTGTCACATAGATGTGTTTACTCTCTTCTTGCAAGCTGCCCCTACCCAACCGTGTCCCTCACTATACCCCGTGTGTAGTCCACACTCCCTCCCTGCTTCCCCACACACTATCCTGTGTGTAGTCCACACTCCCTCCCTGCTTCCCCACACACTATCCTGTGTGTAGTCCACACTCCCTCCCTGCTTCCCCACACACTATCCTGTGTGTAGTCCACACTCCCTCCCTGCTTCCCCACACACTATCCTGTGTGTAGTCCCCACTCCCTCCCTGCTTCCCCACACACTATCCTGTGTGTAGTCCACACTCCCTCCCTGCTTCCCCACACACTATCCTGTGTGTAGTCCACACTCCCTCCCTGCTTCCCCACACACTATCCTGTGTGTAGTCCACACTCCCTCCCTGCTTCCCCACACACTATCCTGTGTGTAGTCCCCACTCCCTCCCTGCTTCCCCACACACTATCCTGTGTGTAGTCCACACTCCCCCCCCCCCATGCTTCCCCACACACTATCCTGTGTGTAGTCCCCACTCCTGCACTCCTTAAGGCGACGTCCATTACCTTTTAGTATGACGATCTTGACACAGTGGTTGTAGAGCTCGAACACAACTTGCTAATGAACTATGGAGTGGGCCGTCACTAGTCCAAGTCTTTAACCCTTCAGCATGAGAACACTGTAATCTTAAGGCAAGAAAATATTATAATCTTTAAACATTTTGCAAAGATTTTGAGTCCTCTGTTTTGTTTGTATAATCATATTTTCAACATTTTACTGATGTATGTTTTTTAAGATGTTAATGAAGGGCTTTTGCGATCATCGACTAAACACATTTTCTTCAATTTTAATTTAAGGTAATTGGCCGACAGTTCGACACAAATGATATATCCTCATTCCTAAAAATCTGTATCACATGTTCCACCCTCCACAATTTCAGTACTTTGTTCGTCATTAATGATTTAAAAACAATGCAAGACAATGACTTGCTCAGGTCACCGTAACATTCTTCAAGGTCTAAATCTTGTACTGAGAAGTACATATATCTTTTTTTTTAGAAGACATATTTGTCTTCATATCTTGTACAGGAAACTTTATGTGCTTTAATTTTTATATTTCTAACGCCTTCCCTAGTAGCAACTAGGGACAGAACGACGTGTTAGACTGAGGCAGCGGTTCACCTGACAGAGAAGAGTTCGAGGAGAGAGCCGCAGGTAGGGCCTTGATGATACTTAACAGGAAAGGTAGAGAAATCTAGGCTGCTGAGAAGTCTCAAGTAAGATATATAGACAGCGACTCTTTGTTCGAGGTTTCATAGGATACCTATAATATGGAATAGATGTACTTTCCTGTGGCTGGTATTAGTTACATGGGAAATAGAACGGAACAAGTCTGCCTCTGGTTTGGAAAGAATGAAGGGTTGCCAAGGGTTGAAATGATTCTAATTTGCACTAGATATGCAAAGGCAGACAGATAGAATCTCCTGAACTGTCTACTTCCCTCCCTCCCTCCGGTACCGTCTGCCTCCTTCACTCCTTCCTCTTCTGCCTCTTCCAGTGGCAGAAGATGAACGAGTAACATACAATCATCGTTATCGACGTTGAGTCGACTTCTATAACGACCGAAATATTTGTCCAACTCTCGTTTAACAATTAAACCCTCATTTCATACTTCGTAGGTCGTTGGTATTCTTAAAGGAGCCTTTCCTTCTTAAGGAGGGGCTTCGGGGTCGACCCCAACCACACTAGGACACTCGACATACAATCGCAACCCACCATGCAAAGTTACATCAGGCTAACCCCTAAACGTCTGGCCTCCATCCTCGGACAAACATAGACATTCCATTTTATAAATGTTAATTAATATTAATAATCCCTCATGTCTCTCACCCTCCCTCTCCATCCCTCACCTCCGACTGCTTTCTTCCTCTAACTTCCTACACTCTCTCGCTCCTTTTTCTCCCTAGACTTCCTGAAATTTCCCCCCCCCCCCTTCCCCGACCAGTACTCCCCCACTCAACTATTTCCCCACGTAAGTACTCACCTGTACACCTATACATACATCTGTAAGTACACCTGTAAGTACAACCCCCGCAAGTAAGTGCTTGCGGGGGTTGAACGTTGGCTCTTTGGTCCCGCCTCGCAACTGTCAATCCACTGATCTCTCAACTGTCAATCAAGTGAATGTCAGCATTCAGTGACACTCAGTGTTCACTACAGCCTTTAAGTCCTCAGCAACACCAAAATATTTTACAGATTCGGAAAATGCCGCCGTTGGAGTGTGGCTTGGAGGGTCAGATGAAGCTCAGGAGGGAGTCTGGACTTGGGTCACTGGAGAACTGATGCCTAAAGGACCACCTTTCTGGGGATCAATTAACGGGTGAGAATATCCTACATAATTATTTATTACTTATTTTTAATTTATAATATTTAAACAATCAACTGTAACAATTATAGTTTTCCTTAAGTCCTAGCATCTCTGTTTGTAAAGTTGAACACTCGTTTAAGAGTCTCCAACCAACTACAGAATTTCCTGCCTTAACTGCAGCTCCGGATCCTTGTCCCTGCTGGTCAACTGATCCTTCTGTGAAGAATGTGAAGTCGTCAGATGCCAAGTTTGCTTATATAAGCTGTATACCTATTATATCACTGAATGTTATTATGTTTGTATCCTCAGTGATCCATGGCAAAATAATTAGTACTGTGAGCTGTTATTTATTTACGGCCCCCACGACGGCAGTGGTGCTGAGCATGCCTCGACATTCCCCTGATGGTAAAGGTAAAGCATTAGCGATGTATACTCCGCCTGTACTCGGATATTAGCGTACTTTGCATCTGATAAACTCACTGGTGTACAACTGTCTGGGAAGATCCTTCAGGCGAGCACCGTTCTCACCTCACACACACCCGTGGCACAAACACGATGCCCTCTCCAAAACTCGTGCCCAGTTGGGCAAAGATATCTTCTAGTGACTTCTGATGGAGCAGAACTCAACTGCCCTCTATGCCCTGAGGGCACACCCGGAGCCCATAAACTACGGGCACTTCTCGGCCAAGCCGGCGTCGGATACCATCTCATCGCTTGGAGAACCAACCGAAAAACGGAAAAATCTATCAACTTCCTAGTGACCTCAGCCGGTGAATGCGCCAAGCTTTGTAACAGTACAAGCCGTTGAAGGGAAATACCAAATGACCTTATTGATTCCAAATAAGTAATATTGTGTTCTTTGCTCTGGCTGTCCCAAGGCAGAGCACAGCAAATCTAGGTGACCATTCGTCGTTTAGGTTGAAGCTGGAAGGAGAGAATTATGAGAAGAAAGCGCAAAACCATTACGAATGTATAGTACTTGGAAGAGGTCAGGATAAGGATTTGGAATGGAACGGGAAAAGGAATGGTCCCCAACCACTTGGACGGTCCGGAATTGAACACCGACCTGCATGAAGCGAGACCTTCGCTCTACCGTGCAGCTCAAGTTATTGGGCACCAAGCAGGATCCAGCACACTGACGTTATTGTGGGGTTTTTACTTTTCAACACTCTTTCCTGATCGAATCCATTACACAAAATATGAATTAAAAAACCTTCAGTAAGCTTCTAACTGAGATCTTATTAATCTTTCAACTCTGAAGGTTCTGATAATTAATAGCAAGTAACAGCAAGTTACGGGTCCTCTGGTAGGTTAGGAGGGCAAGAAGTTCTCCTAAGGTTTCAAAACAGCATGAAAACTGTTAATTGAATGTTTCTTCTCCTAACCTAACCTAGTAAGCCGGAGGACTCAAACAGAAAAAGAGACAGTACGTCACTTTCGTGAGCGGAATTCAGTTCATATTCCATCCATTTTTCGTCATAGTGCGCATACGAGCGAAAAGCGACGTTATTTTAAGAGGACGGGTTATTTGTAGAGGGCGAGGCTACCTCTTAGCTGTGTGCAGCTCTAGAGTTGAGGGATGATCCCAACCTTTATCTTCCAGCCTTCTTGTGTCTCATTAATGGAAGCCCATGACTGCAATGGCATATTAGCTCCCTTCAATTCATGATTTGCCTCCTGATATATATTTAACAGTTTGGATTCACATTTGGCTGTCCCCTGAAAATGTTCTACATCAAGATTTTTGCTAATTTCAGCCTTGTAAGGACTGTTTGAGTTTTTCAGATGGGTGTTCCGTGTTGCTTGTAGCAAGAATGGAGAAGACGTTTCTTCAAAGAGAAAAGAAGAAAACGATAATTTACAGTGTGACTGTTCTCGTCTTCAGGGTTCTTTACCCTTGAGAGTTTTGTGTAGTGATAATCTTCCTCCTGGATACCTACTCTTAGGAAAACTTTGTTTATGCCTGCTATATAGGCAAATTGATTTACTTTAAATTCAACAAGACATCATACATCTTTTGAGTTAAACTTGGACCTGTTTGTAAATAGTCGTGAGGAAATCTCCCAGGAGGAATTTATTTATTTATTTATTTAATGATGTATTTAATTTCTAATTTATTTCTTAAGAACTAATTTCTAATTTATTATTTCATTCATTTTCATAGCCTCCCTTCACAACCTGGGGGGTTATTTAATAATATAACCAACCAAATTAAGATTAATAGTTTGGTAGAAAACTGCTACTACTGTAGTTATTAATCTACTATGGTTAGTTTTAAACAAAACACAGCTTAGCTATTAGATAGAATGTAGTTTGTTTAATCAGCCATGCACACGTCCTGATCATATAAGTCGCGTCGTCTCCTGGTTGAGCATGCTGGCGTCAGGACGTGTTCATGCAGAACCAAGTAATTCTTTGCTGTTATCTCCTTCCCCTCAATTTCACCTGTGAGTTGATTACATGGTAAATATCGCAACAATATATGAAGCATATAGCAAAAGAAAGGAGGTTATAATTTAATGATCATGATCATAGGAAGTCTGGGAAGTCCTGGGAAGCCTGGGAAGTCCACTCTAACGGAAGACGGGACGTGTGTTTCCAACCACGTAAGTGGTCGTATAAGTGTCGCAAGATGTCCGAACAACGTGGGATGAATCGATGATAAAAATTCACTACGCCAAGAAATTATTACAACTTCTTTGGAGTGGATGGGCGTGGAAATATTTTGATTGCCTCGATTTTCTTCTCTAGTGGTTGGACCCCTGCTGCTGACACACGGTGTCCCAAGAAATCCAGCTCTGGAACATGGAAAATACACTTTTCAGAGTTGAGCTGCAAGCCGAAGTTTCGCAGACGGGTGAGAAGGAGACGGAGGTGTAGCAGATGTTCTGTCAGGGATGTACTGGCCACCAGCAGATCGTCAATGAAGGCATAGCAAAAAGGAAGGTCCTTAAGTTCTTAACTACTTGGTCGATGAAGCGTTGGAATGTTTTTGGGTTCATTCCGTAGACCAAAAGGCATCCAGACGAATTCAAACAGTCCAAAAGGTGTTGTGATTGCTGTTTTCGAAATGTCTGCCGGTTCCACCAGGATCTGGTGAAATGCCCGCACAAGGTCAATTTTCGAAAAAAACGGTTGTGTTCCTCAGTCTCTGGGAGAAATGCTGGATGTGTGGTATTGGGTAGCAATCCGGCAGAATACAAACGTTGAGAGCCCTGTAGTCCTCGAAAGGGCGCCATTTCCCGGGGGCTGTTTTCGGGTCCATATGGAGAGGTCAAGCCCATGGACTGTTTAAAGGGCGGATTATTCCTGCCTCCTGTAGCTTGTAGAATTCAGCACGTGTTACCGCCAGTCGTTCTGGTGCCAGGCGGCGTGGTCTGGCGAAGGTAGGTGCTCTTCTTCTAGTAATGTGATGCGTAATCGTATGTTGCACTTCTGGTCGAGGGCTGGTGGGTTGGGTCACATCTTTAAATTCATCCAAGTGTGCTTGAAGTTTCATAGATACGACTGGGGTGACGCTGTTAACTTGTGTAGAGGTACTCGGGGAGGCTCGAAGTACTGCATCTTTATCCGTGATCCGGCCTGTACTCCTCTTCACATACCATAAAACAGTCTAAGGAAACTACTCCAAGCTTGTACTAAAGAGGCACCCTTCTTGAGCCCGGATGGACACATGTATAAGCAAGTAGATGGGGTCGCCATGGGTTCTCCCTTAGGTGTCCTGTTTGCAAACTTCTACATGGGTACCATCGAGCAAAAAGTCTTAGTCGACATGAACTTGAAACCGGCCATATACTGCAGGTATGTTGACGACATTTTTACACAGGTACCTGATGTCAGACATCTGCAGGAGCTGAAGGAGGCATTTGAGCAGAATTCTGTGTTGCGTTTCACTTACGAGATGGAAAAGGATGGGAAGCTGCCCTTTCTAGATGTAACAGTCATGGAAAGGAGCGGAGTTTTCCACACAGCAGTCTACACTAAGGAAACAAACATAGGAATGTGCCTGAATGCCAACAGTGACTGCCCGGACAGGTACAAGAGAGGTGTTGTTAACGCTTATGTCGACCGTGCCCTCAGCCACAGCTCAGAATGGAAGCAAGTCGACGAAGAACTCTGTAGGGTAAGGCAGGTCCTAGTCAACAACGGCTTCTCCAATGGTTTCGTGGAAGACATCATAAGAAGGAAAGTGAAACGCCATGCAACCTCTGAAGAGACAACTAACACAACACCTGTACCCCCTATTAGACTATTTTACAGGAACTTCTTTTCCATAGCCCATAAAACGGAGGAAAGGGTCCTGAAAGATATTGTCAGTAAAAACGTTATCTCTACAGACAAAAATCAGAAGATACAACTGACAATTTACTATAAAACCAAAAAAACGGCCAGCCTACTCATGAGAAACTCTCCAGAAACAAAGAAGAACGTTTTAAAAGAGACCAACGTCGTCTATGCCTTCAAATGCCCTCTTGGGGATTGTAAGCCTCAAAGAACTCAGTATATAGGCAAGACAACAACATCTCTTTCCAGGCGTTTAACGATGCATAAGCAACAGGGCTCCATTAAGGAACATATAGCCTCTTCCCACAACCAAACCATCACCAGAGAAATCTTAGCAAACAACACAGAAATCATCGATAGATACAGCGATAGCAGGCGGCTCGACGTCTGCGAGGCACTACACATCAAGAAATCAACACCAGCAATCAACAGCCAATTAATGCACAACTATATTCTACCCACTTTAAGACTCCGCTCCAATATAGAAGCATACTTAGAAGTCTGCGTACTTGCAGACTACAGGTGACGCGTAAGATCCACGGGAGTGGCGTATTACTGTCAGATTGACAGGATCAACCTTCACACATCCGTCCACCTTGACGTGTCGTGTCAGACTGATGGCGCCGCCGTGGCGCTATGACCGGACCCCAATGTCTTCGTGATGTCATACTTGCCAAGGGAGGTGTTCATTGGCTCCCTGTGCCACATCGCTGTCGGTGACCAATCTGGTGCCACTGACGTCACACAGTTTTGGCGGCAAAACGAAGGGGCCAGCGCCATATTGGCTTCCTAAAGGGCCTATACCACAGGCCAAAATACTTTTCTTTCACGAATTTCTCGCCACCTCGAGAACACTACACTCTCCCACATATGCACTCAGGTTGATCACAAGTGAGGACAAAATTTTGCCCAGGGATGAAACCACAGCCCAAGCACTGAGAGAAAAACACCCCCTCAGGGCCGTAGGTGGACCTCCCCCACAGGTCAGGCTCGCCCCTAACCAGGAACCTCTCGTCCTCCGGGAGTCAGAGGTTTATAAAGCTATCGTTTCATTTCCCCCGGGCTCCTCCGGAGGCTACACAGGGGTAAGACCTCAACATGTGAAGGAAATGGTGAACCCTGTTCTTGGCCCAGCTGCAGAAGCGCTCCTGACAGAAATCACAACGTTTGTCAACAACTGCCTCGCCGGGTTAATCCCTGGTGAAATCAAACCATTCTTCTTTGGTGCATCCCTATGTGCCCTGAAAAGGAAGGGGGGGAGGGATCAGACCCATTACCGTTGGTAATACCCTTCGCCGCCTAGTTGCAAGGGCTGCTGTCAGAAGTATCCGAATGGAAGCAGCCACCATGCTGCAACCCAACCAGCTGGGGTTTGGAGTCCCCCAAGGCTGTGAAGCAGCGGCTCATGCTGCACGAGCCTACATTAGCTCTCTTACTGAAGACCAGGCAGTAGTAAAATTAGATTTTAAAAACGCTTTCAACTCGGTCAAAAGGGAAGCAATCCTCACTGCAGTCCAGGAACATTGCCCAAGCATTCTCCCGTTTGTGTCAGCAGGCTACAGCAAAGACTCAACCCTCCTGTTTGGCAAACATGAAGTCACCTCAGCAGAGGGAATTCAACAGGGAGACCCACTTGCACCCTTCCTCTTTTGCATAGCGGTTCGAGAAATTACAACCAGACTGTCCAGTGAGCTCAACATCTGGTTCCTGGATGATGGCACTCTGGCAGGCACACAAGATTCCCTGCTGGAAGACCTGCAGAGAATGTAGTTGTGACAACTATATTCTACCCACTTCAAGACTCCGCTCCAATATAGAAGCATCAAGAAATGTGGGCCAATAGGCCCTCTGCAATTACTTCCATTCTTACCTTCAATACCCATTGTTTCGTGTTCTGGCTTGTGTTGAAAATTTGTTTTCACCTCATCCAAAACTGATGTAACATATCACCTCACCCAAATGCAGGTATAAAAATTCGAAGATGTTTAAGCTCTATTCAATTTTAAGTTGTGTGTGTGTGTAAACTAAGTCTTTGAAAATGTAATAAGTTTTACGAAACGCGCTCAAGTGTCGCATCAGACTAGAAATAAAAATGAATTTTGGAGAATTGATTATTCATTTACCATCAACAGTGAAAAGAAACATAAGAAAGATCGAGAAAATTCGTGTTAGAATTATTAATCTTACTTTTTCGGTCATATTTAATAATATCTGTCTACAGGAATAACTGCTACCAAAATATACTAATATATATATATATATATATAAAATATACTAATATATATATATATATATATATATATATATATATATATATATATATATATATATATATATATATATATATATATATATATATACATATTTGGGCGAGTATACAGAAGTTTGCAGGTGATAATTGGCGAGCAATGGTGTGACAGTGACTTGAGTGCACTGAGAGTTGGTACAGTATCTCACAAGTGTCTGTTCTAAGCCACACGTGAAAGAAGACTGATTATTACTCACTACTCTGCTGCTTATATGCTCGGACAACACCTCATCATTCTCCAAAGGTTGGCAGAAATATTAACTGGAAGTAGGGAAAGGTTTGAAGTCCATAATTAGTTCTAATGAGAGCTTTGCTTCTCGCATTAGGCTAATGAGTTTGGAGCGAGTATATTATTAGGATAATCTATTCGCTACAGAACTGTCAACCAACATGGGTTCAGAGATGGTAAATCGTGCCTCACAGGGTTAATAGAATTTTATGACCAGGCAACGAAAATTAGGCAGGAAAGAGAAGGGTGGGCCGACTGCATTTTCCTGGATTGCCAAAAAGCCTTCGACACAGTACCCCATAAAAGGCTGTTAAAAAAGTTGGAGCAACAGGCAGGAGTAAAAGGGAAGGTGCTCCAGTGGATAAGGGAGTACTTAAGCAACAGGAAACAGCGAGTAACGGTGAGGGGGAAGACATCAGAGTGGCGAGATGTCACCAGCGGAGTCCCACAGGGCTCAGTACTTGGACCCATCCTGTTTCTAATATATGTGAACGATCTTCCAGAGGGTATAGACTCATTCCTCTCGATGTTTGCTGATGATGCAAAAATTATGAGAAGAATCAAGACGGATGAAGATAGACAGAGACTACAGGATGACCTGGATAAACTGGAGGAATGGTCTAGAAAATGGCTGCTGAAGTTCAACTCTGGAAAGTGAACACTTACCATCATACTCATGTTAATTTTCTTTTCCAGATACAGGCCAGAACCAGGCGGCGGTCGCGGAGAGAACTGTTTAATTATGTATCATCCTGACAAGTACTATTTGCATGATATTTCTTGTGGTTATGCCCAGTCTGTGCCACTTTGTCAAAAGGTTTATAAATGATCCCTGTAGTTTGACATTCAACTCAGTGATAGCAGGTATCCAAACGAGCGCTTATATATATCTTCAAAGTTTTGCTCAGCATTGCGCTCTCAAGGATTTCTTGACATTTTATATATTCAACGATCATATTTAAGGATTATATAGGTACCTTCATGTATATATTATGCCCCATAACCATTCTGGGCAAGAACAATATTCTAATTTCAATTAAATTTATTCGTATCCATTTATATTTATTTCCCAAATCCGACCAGTTTCTAAATATCTAATATTAAATATTTCTAAATATCTATGTTAAATGTATATATACATTGCATACAAATGAAGGAAAAAGTAAAATACATAAGAATATGGGATACAAAAACAGTATGTAAGAATATGACATTTAAATCATGTTGAGTTGGTCAGTAGGTGAGAAGCAGTCGTGCCAAGATGAGTCCCAGCAATCACAAAACATTTTATGACGTTTTTATTTGGTAGTACAAATGTTCACTTTAACTAATTTTATAAAGTCATTGTTAGAATGTATAAAATACGTTATTTTCAGTCAATCAAATCGTAGACCCAGCAACCACTTACTTGTACTTTGGCACTTTGGTCTCGCCTCTCGACTGTCAATCAACTGGTGAAAGAGGCTGTCTAGCTCCCAGGTACCTATTTACTGCTAGGTAACAGGGGCATCAGGGTGAAAGAAACTCTGCCCATTTTGTTTTCTCGCCGGCGCCGGGAATCGAACCCATGCCACAAGATTACGTGCCAACGTGCTCTCCACACGGCCACCGGTGCCCCATGTGAGAGTGAGTGAGGGTGTGTGAGGATGTGTAAGAGTGTTTGAGGGTGTGTGGGAAGGTGTGGGAGGGAGCGAGAGGAGTGTGAGAGGGTGTATGTGAGACTGTGGAAGTGTGTGGGAGGGTTTGTGAGGATGTATCAGAGTGTGTGAGGGTGTGCGAGGATGCGAGAGAGTGTGTGTGAGAGTGGGAGGGTGTGGGAGGGCGTGTTAAAAAGTGAAGGGTGCAGGAGTGTGTATGAGAGTGTGTGAGGGTGTGAGAGGGCGCAAGAGGGTGCATGAGAGTGTATGTAAGGGTGTGGGAGAGTGTAGAAGGGTGTGAAAAGTGTAAGGAGGGTGTGAGAGAGTGTAGAAGGGTGTGAAAAGTGTAAGGAGGGTGTGGGAGGGTATGTGAGAGTGTGGAAGGGTGTGTGAGAGTGGGAGGGTGTGTGAGAGTGTGGGAGGGTGTGTGAGGTTATGTGAGGGGTGCGTGAGGGTGTGGAAGAGTGTGGGAGAGTTTAGGAGGGTGTGTAAGGGTGAGGGAGAGTGTATGGGAGGGGTGTTGGAGAGTGTGGGAGCGTGTGTGAGAGTGTCGGAGGGTGTGTGAGGGAGCAAGAGGGGTGTGAGAGGGTGTGTGTGAGACTGTATGAGGGTGTGTGAAGGTGTGTTAGAAAGTGGAGGGTGTGTGAGGGTGCAGGAGTGTGTGACGGTGTTGTGAGGGGTGTGAGAGGGTGCAAGAGGGTGCATGAGAGTGTGAGAGTGTGTGTGAGGGTGCGTGAAGGTGCGTGAGATTGCGAGGGTATGTGCGGGTATGGAAGGGTAGGGGAGGGTGTGTGACGGTGTGTAATGGTGTGGGGAGGTTTATGTGAGGGTGCGAGAGGATGTATAAGAGTGTATGAGCGTGTGAGAGGATGTGAGAGGGTGTGTGTGAAAGTGTGGGAGGGTGTGTGAGTGTGTGGGAAGGGGTGTGGGAGAGTGTGGGAGGTGTGAGTGTGTGTGTGAAAGTGTGGGAGGGTGTTAGAAGGTGGGAGAGGGTGTGTGTGTGTGAGAGTATAGCAGAGGGTGGAAGGGTGTTAGAAGGTGGGAGAGGGTGTGTGTGTGTGTGAGAGAGTATGGCAGAGGGTGTGTAAGAGGGTGGAAGGGTGTAAGAAGGTGGGAGAGGGTGTGTGAGAGTATGGGAGGGTGTTGGAGGATGTTAGAATGTGGGAGAGTGTGTGTGGGAGTGTGGGAGTGTACAGTGTGGGAGTGTGGGAGTGTACAGGCACAGGCAGGTTGTGTGGTACAGGCCTAGCCCTGTGACCGAGGTCAGGATCTCTAATTTTGGTTTTTATATATGTTGAATTCTTTATCCTATTTTAACTTATAATTATTTGGCAGGAATGTAATAAGATATTGCACAGTATTAATGTGACTATAATGATATGCAATATTTCCTTGATAATCAACCTTGATGTTCAGGGATAACATATAATCTTTGAAGGAAACATTTTTCGAGGGAATATCTGGGCGAGCTGGCAACACTGGACCTACCTTGAGGTTACCTTGAGGTGCTTCCGGGGCTTAGCGTCCCCGTGGCCCGGTCGTCGACCAGGCCTCCTGGTTGCCGGACTGATCAACCAGGCTGTTGGACGCGGCTGCTCGCAGCCTGACGTACGAGTCACAGCCTGGTTGATCAGGTATCCTTTGGAGGTGCTTCGTGACGCTTCACCTAGATTCGTGAAGCTCCATGTATTTCTTCCTAAGTAAGTTGGCTATGAAGGTTCTTAAGTAGTGAAACCTCGAGTGACGAGCGCCTCAAATTACGAGCATTTTGAATATCGAGCGCTGATCGCCGACAATTTATCTCCATTGGCGAGCACTCATTTCATTAACGAGAAAACCACATGGTGCATTCCTGCTGCTTCTCGCACATTCTCGCACGCCTCCTACAATGCAAATATTTTTTTTTTTAATATGCTAATGATGCTGGGATGTAAAGGGGTGACTGCTGTGATGTTGCAATGCATTGAATTGTTTTTTGTAGAATAAACAACATTTTTTTTTAAAAAGAACAAATGTCAAAATGGTTTATTCAGTGTATGTCAGGTACGCTGTTCTATGTTTCTTAAAAAAAAAATGGAAAAAAAGGAAAATGTCATATAGGTTCGTTCAGTGTGTGCCAGGTAGGCTGCTCCATTTTTAATATATATATGAAAAATACAAAACAAATTCTCACATTTGAAACAAAGAAAGATTGTCATAATGGAGCATCCTACCTGACAAACACTGAGCGAACCTTTATGACGTTTTTTCTTTTTTTCAACTTTGTTCAATTATTTTTATATTTTTCATTTTCTTTTTAATAAACATGAAGCAAACTACCTGACATACACTGAACGAACCTTTCGCTATATATATATAAAAAAATATATATATAAAAAAGTCAACAAAGTTGGAAAAAGAACAAATGTCATTAAGTTTTGTTCAGTGTTTGTCAGGTAGGCATATGGAGCACATATGTTTCTTAAAAAAACTGAACAAATTTGAAAAAAGAAAAAATGTCATAAAGGTTCGTTCAGTATATGTCAGGTAGGCTGCTCCATTATTTACAAAATCGAATATCACATTGATATATTTCGGTGGTGGAACGGATTTTTTTTATTTCCAATCTTTTAAATGGGGAAGTTCGTTTTGAAAAACGAGCATTTCACATGACGAGCTCGGTGCCGGAATGGATTAAATTCGTTAATCGAGGTTACAATGTATTTATTTATTTATAAATTTATATACAAGAAGTTACATTGGGGGTTAACAGAGAATATAGAAAATAAGTTGAATTAAAGTTCTTGTAAAGCCACTAGCACACGTTAGCGCATACTCAGAGAAGACATTGTGGATCCTCACTGAACACTTTGATATTTTCTTCTCCTACCACCCCCTATTCTCCTGGTATGTGTGTATATTTATCTAACTTTATTGCAAATGTCATTACACAAAAAAGTTACAATATTGATTACATGCAGGGTACAAGGCTGCTTGTCACAAGTTGAACAGTTCCTCCAGCTCCTCAGATGGCGGGCAGGAACCAGGTATGCAGTGAGCATTTCCTCTCTGGTTTGCCACACTAAGGCGCTGAAAAAGAAAACTGGCAGCTCTAGGGTCTCTAGTTGTTTCGATTAGCTTAGACCCCAACTCCTTCAAAAAGCTAGCAGCACTTTTATCCCAGGCACCAAGTGTCTCTGAGGCAATGGTGACAAAATTGTAGTTGTGCTCAAGGTCTCTGTATTTACGTGACTTGGCCGCTCCTCCTGCTTGTGTAGCACTGAAGTCAACATAGGTATTGGCTAAAGTTGAAACGCAAGTGTAGTCCCACACCAACTGTCTACCATTCTTCCAGGGGTTCACCGTGATTCCGCCTGAGCGACCGACAGGCGAATCAGAGTTGCGGGACATTACGTATATATATATATATATATATATGTATATATATATATATATATATATATTGCCTTGCATAGTAGGGTGAGAAGTGCGTTCTGGCTACTAGGTACGACATATATATATATATATATATATATATATATATATATATATATATATATATATATATATATATATAATATATATATATATATATATATATATATATATATATATATATATATATATATATATATATATATATATATATATATATATATATATATATATATATATATATATATATATATATTTATATATATATATATATATATATATATATATATATATATATATATATATATATATATATATATATATAATTTGTGAGGTACCACCTCTGGTGCCAATGTGGGGACCCATAGCCTCGGAGAAGAAAATAAAAAGTAAAAAAGTATTCAGGGAAGACCTTGTGGTTTCTCACTGAACACTAATATTATCTTCTCCTACCACCCCCATTCTTTTGTATGTACACATATATATTTGCTTTATTTGAACTTTGTTACAAAAAAGGAGTTACATATAGGTTACAAAGATGGTTATCATAGGTTGTCGAGTTCTTCCAGCTCCTCAGATGGCGGGCAGGAACCCTGGATGCAGTGCGCATTTCCCCTCAGCATTGCCACACAGAGGCGCTGGAAAAGAAAGCTGGCAGCTCTAGGGTCCCTTGTTGTTTCAATAAGCCTAAAACCCAGTTCCTTCAAAAAACTGATAGCACTTTTGCCCCAGGCGCCAAGTGTCTCAGAAGCAATGGGGACAAAATTGTGGTGGTGATCCAGTTTTCTATACTTACGGGATTTGGGTGCTTCCCTGTGGGTGGCGGCGCCACCTGGTTGTGCAACACTGAGGTCAATGTAGGTGTTAGCTAGGGTTGATACGCACTTGTAGTCCCATACCAACTGCTTGCCATTCTTACAGGGGTTCACTGTGATACCATCCGGGCGACCAATAAGAGCATCAGAGTTACGGAGCGTTAGGTAACTATATATATATATATAT